GTTCCAAGAAAATTTGCTACAGCTACATCTACAACACAACCACAAGACACTGTAGCTTAGGTTAGTTCCCGTTTTTTTAGTTTGTGAATGCTAATTTCGCTGCATTTTTCGCAAAGAAAAAAAAATGAAAGAAGTTTCAAATACAAGTGTGTGCTTGCAGTGTGTAAAAAATATATTTGTATATCATTGCAATTGCTTTTAATAAATTATTAATAAATTTATAATCAATCGAATACACGTGACATTTTCATCTAAATAGATCGCTACATAAATAAAGCGAGAGGGCTCCCCCCTAAATGTACTGTGGTATTAAATTTGTTTTAATATAATAGAATCGCGTAGAAAATAAACCGGGAGTGATCTCCCCTAAACTTTCTCGGATATTCTAATATAACACTACGGGGGATGGCAACTCGGGATATAGACATGATTTTTAACCCATTTTAAATACTTAAACTTTTTAAAATAGAATAAAATCTCGTAGAAAAAAGAAATGCACACCAAGTGAACGCCAAATAAAGATGTGCATAACAGTGCGCAACATTATTAGTTCTTTATAAAATTACATGCGTTTTTTGAGAAATCGTAAATAGCGTAAATTAGTACTTCTGGTCAACGGAAATTACTCAAAATGTGACACAAGTTAGAGAATTAGATCTTTTACTTACATATGAAATTTCATTTATCTATCTGAAATAGTACTTAAGTTATAGGCTTTTGAAAAATTCAAAGTAGAAAAATTAAAAAAAAAAAAAAGGAAATCGCTCAAAAGTTGATACGGATCTCCGATTTTGATAAGATACTTATATATGAAATTTCATCAACCTAGCTGTAACGGTACTCAAGTTATCGTGTTTACACACAGACATACACACACACACAGAGACACACAGAAATACGGACAATATTGCAAAATTATGTTTTTCCGTATCAGTGAGGTGTAAAACGTCGAGATTTGTAAAAATCTCTATTTGGTTTTTGTGCACGATTACAAGACTTTCTATATACTTCATATATACGAGAAAGTAAAAAAGTAATTTAAAAGCTAATAAACATAAACTATTTGTGTATAAAAGAGCGTATAAGTGATGCTTTATTAAGGAAACTTTGATTAATATGTAAAAAGCTACTTACATATCTAATTTAGACATATTTTATAATACTTAAATATGAAATATTGTCAACATAACTGAAACGGTTCTCAAGTTATAGTGTTCACAAACACACACAGACACACAGATAAAATTGCAAAACTAAGTATTTTTGACTTAGGTGTGAAACGTAGAGATTTGTGAAAATTTCGATTGTTTGCACGATTACAATACCTTCTCTACAAAAGTAAAAAAACTATGCACTCACTATTTCAACTTTCGTGTACTAGGTTCCTGGTTAGTCTCGAAGAATAATGCGCAACAAAAAGTTCAGGGAAAGATTTTCTCCAGCGGGAAGTTCTGTAACTCAAACAGAAGCATCACGGTACTGTCTGATGGTTCCATCTCTGAGACTGACCTAATGTTTTGTACAGGTGATATATTCAGTATAATCATGGGCGTCGCGTGGCGGGGTTGGGGGTGCTGGCCGCAACGGGTGACACCCGACCTAGCTACGCCACTGAGTATAATATTTTTTATCTATGTTATGTACTTTTGTTTTTCTCTCTGATTACAAGATTGTATCTTTCTATGTGTAATTTTTAGATTTTTTTTCTCCGGGGGAGGGTGTGGGTTAGGGGGAACTTGAAACTCAAGGGAGGGGTGGGGAGGGCGGACTAAATTTTCCAGGGGGAAGGGGCTGGATACTGATAAATTAATTATTATCTTTATAAATTCTATTTTGTTTGAGGGGTGGCGTGCCGTCAAAATAGATCAAAATAACATAAAAAGAAATTAAGCTAACTAAATGAATGCATCCTATGATTAGATTGAACAAAGTTTAATAAAGGAAAGTAAAGACAGCAAAAAAAAATGAAACAGGCTGTAATCCGAGTCAACTGAATAAATGGCGTATAAAATGTTGACACCTAACACTTAATTGTGATATACACATTACAGTTAAGAACGTTTAGAAAAAAATTCATACCGTGTATGGTACCATTGTAATAACACATCTAATTGAAATAACTTTAAGAAAGTAAAAATTGTATTTTAGATTTTACTGGGAGAGTATTTGTCAGAAGCGTAGCGACCGAAGGGAGGGGGGGGGGGGCAGGGGGCACATATGTCCCCGGGCGCCGACCCTAAGGGTGCCAAAATAAGCTTATTTTAGCTGCTATTTTGAATTTTTAATATTAAAAAAATATGGGGGGGTGCCAAATTGAAAGTTTGCCCCCGGGCGCAGGGAGGGGTCGCTACGCCTCTGGTATTTGTCACGAAAATGTATTGAAAATATTTTATTCTGGTTAATTCAGCCAGCCGTCAAGATTCTTGTCACGTGACCAACAGTATCACCCCTCGAGCTTTGGTGACCTTGAACTCTGGACTTCAGGTCATGTGTGACACAGTCACGGAAGGTGGAGGGTGGATCATTTTCCAGAGACGAGTCTCCGGAACTGTGAATTTTTACCGCAACTGGGCGGAATACAAAACCGGATTCGGTGATTTCGCTTCCGGTAATTTTTACCTGGGGAATGAAAATATTTACCGTATGACGTCAAAAAACAAAACGGAACTCCGTGTTGATATGATATTAGATGGAGTGAATCGCTACGCTAAGTATTCCATATTTAGTGTATCAAACGAGGCTGGCGGCTACAGGCTACAAGCTGAAGGCTACACCGGTGATGCTTTGGACGGTCTGGATATATTCACAACCATGAAGTTTACAACTTTTGACGCGGATAATGACATGTACTCCGATAACTGCGCTGTCTATTGCCAGGGAGCGTGGTGGTATTACAAATGCTGCAACACTCATCTAAACGGCGTGTGGGGATCGAGCTTCTTCTCATGGAACGGGACGACCGCCACGTTCAGTGAAATGAAATTTAGATACGCTTAACATATGCAAAATTTTAAATCATAATGTAATGAATTACGTTTGTATAGCTATGATTATGTAGTTAATATACATTGAACAGGACAATTATTTTATTTTTATTTCAGTTTATATTCTAATAAATGGAATAACCTTTATTTTTTTATATTGTAATCGTGACTTTGTATTATCTGTATTTATAATATATATATATATATATATATATATATATATATATATATATATATATATATATATATATATATATATATATATATATATATATATATATATATATATATATATATATATATATATATATATTTTGCATTTTCTAACATAAAATTTTAATCGTATTGACGGAATTATCACAACTTAAAGTCATTAACCCATTTTTTTAAGTTAAACTAACAGCTTACTAAATCCACTATATGTAGGGTGTCGTAATGGTGTGCATCATATCTTTTAACTTAAAACCTGACTTTACTAAAGAGAGACTTGTCCAAACTCATGTTGTTGAAACGTAAGTATGATGGCGTTACATTTGGAAAATTTCTACGTGACGCACTTCAATGTGTCATCTTAAAAATAATTTTCCTTTTCCAATTCTACAAAATATTTTATTTGTTCAGTGTAATGTGATATACACCTACTTGTAAATACAAAATGATATACTCCGACTTGTAAATCACACTTTCTTCTGTCACTATTCTTCTATGGAAAATCTTTTCTAATAAAAATACTTTCAAGCATGTGCTATCATGTGTATAATTAAACCAGGTACTTGTTTATTTTTTTAAACAAAATTGGTGTAATCACTTACATACGCCTGTGTAATTTAAGAACGTAAATAACTGGCGACATGAAAGTATATTTACTTGGGTAAATTAATATAAACTAAGCAATGTAATACAACTAAATTGAATGAAGTGTTCAAAATTACTTTAATAACAACATTTTATTATACGTCGCGCTTTTTTCACTTGGGGTAAAATATAATCAGAGTGCAGTAATGGAAATGCAGCTTACAAATGTACATGTGTGCTATTGCTACAGCTATTGTGTATTGTTTTCTAATACTTCTGTGTCGTAATAGCAGGATTCTCAAACTTAAAATGTATCCAAATTCGAGTAAATGATATTTTCAAACAACCGATAAAAATAAGACGATTTTTTTTCTTAAAACTTTATTACAAATTTTAAAAGACAATGCCAACTAAGTTAGAGACACTGATATTAGATATAACTAACTAAAACATGTTGAAACCATATATATATATATATATATATATATATATATATATATATATATATATATATATATATATATATATATATATATATATATATATATTCATAATCACATGTGTTGAAACGAATTAGTTTGTAAAAGTTTAGTGCATACAGAATCAGAAAATATCACAAATATTGAAAACATTATTTTAGAACAGCATACTTTAAAATTCACTAAGAATTTTTTTTTTTAAAAATGTATATCCTCTTTTTTTTAATAAAAGCAATGGGAAATAAAGAGCTAGGAAATAATATATAATCGAAAACATCTTTGGCATAAATAATTTTGTATTTGATCTACGCATGATTAATAAAAAATATTTTTAAATTAATCCGTCTGATGTAAAGTTATTTGTTACTGTGCTTGATCGATTCGATCTCAATACCTCTGTTTTGATCGTAAGTCAGTTCTTCCTCTGGTACTTAGGAATTTTTTTTCCAATTTCTTGTTATTTTACGTATAGTTGGCTCGTTTTTGTGTTGTCTCGTCCATTTACAGCGCTGATGACGTCATCGTTGAATTGAACAAGAGGGGAAAAAAAAATTAAAACTACCGATCTAGATAATACACAATATTTCATTTTCACAATATACAACAATATATTATTATATTTCGCTTTCACAGAACCATACTGTTCTCCACAGGGAGTAAACAGAACTAATTCAAGTCCTATGGTAGCGTTATAATCGTGATGTAAGTAATCGTAATATAATTAAAGCGTTATACCATAAACAGAAACAGTTTCCAGCAATGAGCCGCTACGTTGAGTGCTGTCCAGTCGTGGTCTCTTCTTCAAAAGTTCCCCAGCTGTTGACCGGATCACATCCCAGGCAAACGAGATGTCGTCTTCTGTTGTACGGGGTGTACACACGGCAAGTCTGGACATTGTTCAATTGTTGAGTTAGTTATCGCAGTAGTATGTAGTTTGTACGGGGTGTACACACGGCAAGTCTGGACAGTGTTCAATTGTTAAGTTATCGCAATAGTATGTAGTTTGTACGGGGTATACATACCGAAAGTCTGGAAAATGTTCAAATGTTAAGTTAGTTATGGTAGTAGTATGTAGTTTGTACGAGGTGTATACACGGCAAGTCTGGACAGTGTCCGTTAATTTATTTGTATTTTCATTTTCCAATTTGTACGTATTAGTATGTAGTTCCAATTTTTAATGTAACGCACAATAGGATAATTGAGGTATTGCTCGTCTTATTTTTTCTTTGGGCATTTTAAGAGATAGTGTGGTCAGCACTACACACAGCCGCCTTTACTTTTCCTAAAGTGAGCTAGGTAACCATTCGAAATGAATGGATTCAGGGGCGTCCTACTAAATTGAACCCGGATTCGAACTCGAGACATTTTTGTTAGCAGTCTAGTGCTCATCGGCTATGCCACACCATCCCTACTTAAGCTTAGTTTAAAGAAAATGTTTGACTTTAAACAGTAACGTTTTGGGATACGCAGGATGTGTTCCTATAAGCTCTCGATAAGAGTAGGTCTATAGGGCATCGGGAAATTATAGAAAGTATGTAAAGTAGTAATTGAAAAAATAAGATCATATAAAGAATGGCTTGCTTGTGGAAGAAGATATTAAATTAAATTCATATGAGCTTGAGATTAAGTAACAGTTGATGTGATTACAATGCAAGAGCTATGTAAGTTGAGGTAATGTAACAGTTGATGTGATTACAATGTAAGAGTTATGTAAGTTGAGGTAATGTAACAGTTGAGATGATTACAATGTAAGAGCTATGTAAGTTGAGGTAATGTAACCGTTGATGTGATTACAATGTAAGAGCTATGTAAGTAACTGAGCTGAGTTACCGTAGAATGTACTTGTCGTTGAGCATACCAGGCACCATGTGCACCATCCCACTTTTGTTGACCCTCTCCATCAGTCTCTCGTTTAGTTCGTTGGTGTTCTGGTGAACAGAGGCAATAAATTAACCACACATCAATATAAAGTGACTTTTTTAAAAACTAGACTCTTTATTATTTAATAAATCATCATCATCATCTTTTTCCCGTGCGCGCTAAGGACACATGGGGCAGGGGGGCACATATGTCCCCGGGCGCCGACCTTAGGGGGCACCAAAATGGGTTATAAAAACAAATTAAAATGTCATTTTAGCTTCATTTTTGCATTATAAATAGTTTGAGTGGGGGTGCAAATCGAAAGTTTGAGGTGGGGGGGGGGGTGCAAATTCAAAATTTACTTCCAAAGAGGGCGCCAAAATGAAAGCTTGTCCCCGGGCGCCGGGAAGGGTCGTTACGCCTCTTGGGGGTGGTCAGTACTTTGCCCCAACCGCCTTTGTTTTACCCTAAAGTAATTTAGGTACCTATTACAGCTGGATTGTCGCAAGGAATTCTATTGACCCTACCCCGGATTTGAACTCGAGACCTTCGGTTTATCGGTTTATCGCTGAGCCACGCCGTCCCAAAATATAATAGTCTTAAATATTTTAAATAAGGCTTTAAAATAGTTTAAATATAATACACACATGTATTTTAAAGAGTAGTTTAGAGGTCTAGCTCGCTACCGCTAGGCCACGCCGTCCCTTCATTTAATACATAATTTTACATCTTTTAAATAACTTATATTAACCTTTTAATGTAAAGCTTTATTAATATTTTAAATAGAATACATCACATGTATGTGACAAGAGTGGTTTAGCGGATGTACTCACCCGAAGACGGAAGCAAACAAGACCGAGCGTCACCTGGGCAACAACTTCAAACCTGTCGTCTGCTAGTACTTTACTTTCAAAGAATTTCCCCAGACGTACGTGCTGGAAATAGAGGGACAATACAGTCATGATGTGATATATTATACGTGGGATGATTTAGCTTCATATCGCTAAATCTTTGCCTATCTTTTACTTGCTAACACTTTATTTAAAATATAAACATCTTCATTAATCATCGCCTTTTATAAATTGTGTGAAAATTTCATGCATATCCCGAACCCATAAATCTAACACACCACATTTTTCTACATTAATGTTTACATCTCAAAGACTTGTTCGAAAACCTCTGTATTTAATTCACAACCACTTCCGTTGTCTGTCGAACGCAACATTAGCTATGTTCAATTATCTAATCGTTGCAAGTTCATTATTAAGATAGATTATAATACGGCACAGCAATTATCACTCTAATGTTAGGTACTTGGTTAACCCCATATCCATGACTTAAATTCCCCCATTAAAACCACATAGGCATACAGCCATCTCATACAGATAACCATGACTTTGTTTTTACTATCAATAACGCCTGAGTTCAATTATCTAATCCTAGCCAGTTCATTATCAAGATAGATTCTAATGGCATAAAACAATTAGCAGTCTAATATGTACCAACTTAACCCCCTATCCATGTCTTCAATTCCCCCATAAAAACTATAAAAAAAAGGCATACAGACATCTCTCATAACATACAGACCACCAAGATTGTTTAAATAATCAATAACGTCCACACCAATGAAGCTCCTCACTACATACCTCTCTAATCCTGGCCTGTAGACCCTTTAACCCGTACGTCCTTATAACAAACCAAACCTTCAGTGCTCGAAATCTCCGCGACAACGGGATCCCCCAGTGCTAAGTGAGAGAAACATTTTATCAAAGATTTTTTTTAAAACTGCCGAATTTTAATCGACTCATCAAACCAACAGTCTCTCTATAGCCAGACACTCAGTCTATACTATGATAACGTTTCTCGTTTCAATTCGACATATCATTCATTCTTTCACATTAGAGGCTCATGACACAAACAATTACCATAGACCAGGGGTCTCCAAACTTTTCAGTCCGAGGGCCGCATTAACTATCAAATTTCAGTTCGGGGGCCAGTTTCTTCCTGGCATGTCTATGATTTTTCTGGGCAAAGTTTCTCAGCCATCACCAACAAACGTTTTTTTTCCGTTAACAAAAAGATCTCCGCGGGCCGGTTGAGAGGACATCAGTGTTTCTTCCAGACTTTTTTCTCCGGGGGGGCACTTGAAATCTTCGGGGGGGCGGTAAACTTTCTTCGGGGGGGCGGACACTGTTAAAAGTATATATTTTCTATATAAATTATATAAATTTCATTTCGTTCGGGGGGGCGGTAAAAAATTTTCGGGGGGGCTTCGCCCCCCCGAAGAGATGCCTGGAAGAAACTCTGGAGGACATCGCGGGCCGTAGTTTGGAGACCCCTGCCATAGACCATCAATGTGTGAAAACAATTTGTTAATAGATCAGTTTTCTGTTGGCACATGAACAATTGTCTTACCCTGATGTCCAGATCCTCGTCTTCATGCTTGGTTCTCAGGTACAAGGGGTCAACGGTCAACGAGCTGGTGAGTGTCTTAGCATTCTTTACCCTGTAGGATTTTTTTTTTTAAATTCTCATAACAAACACATTTTTAAATCAGAAAATATAGTGTTTTAGCATTATTTACCCCGAAGGACTGTAAAACTTTTTTATAACAAAAACTGTTCAATTAGAATATTAGTTCTTAACGTTCTTTACCATGATAAATTTTTAATTTTTTTCTCATAACAAAAACTGTTAAATTTGAAAATATAATGTTTTACTTTCAGATTAGGAAAAAAAACGCGTAATAAATATTGACTAGGCAAGTCATGAAAAACAATATTTTAACCCAACAAAATAGTTATACTTATTACTTCTAAGCAAATCATAAAAAAATAATATTTTCACGATGGTAGTATGAAACTAATACATAAACGTTAGCTAGCTACATGACCTTACCACATCATAGAGCCGTCCACATTGACCTGAAGTAGCTTGTATGGATTCATACTGAACGAGTCGACATTCTTTAAAAATTAAAAATAGAACAGCGTAGGTAAACACGTGAGACAATCCATCTATCAACACTAGGTCTGTGTCACCACCACTAAACCCATTATCTGTGTCACCACCTGTAAACCCATTTTTATGTCACAATCACTAAACCCATTTTCTGTGTCACCACCACTAAACCCATTTTCTGTATCACCACTACTTAACCCATTTTCTGTATCACCACAACTAAACCCATTTTCTGTGTCACCACCACTAAACTTAGATACTGTGTCATCACCCCCAAATCTATTTCTATGTCACGACAAATAAACACAACAAATGTGTCACCATTACTCAACACAACAAGTATTACATCTAGTAAACTCGCACAACGATGGTCTCACCTCCACCCCATTCAGAAAGTGCTGGAACTCCGGACAAACAAAAGCTCCCCCTGCGTACGCCGCGTCTACGTGCAGGTATACGCCCCGTCTGGTGCACACCTCCCCCACCTCCTGCAGGTTGTCGAACGAGCAGCAGGTTGTTGTCCCCAGTGAGGCGCAGACCTGCAACAAATCCGGGATGAGAACATGCCTTAACTTTCATGTTCTTTATCATAGCAACAAAATAAACTGCTTATCTCCCTTACCATGTTCGACAATATTGCATTCATCGTGTTTATGCTAATTTTTCTTAAGTACATAAAAATTTCTAAGAGTAGACAAAGTTGTAATTAAAAATAAAATGGTGTTGTAAAAAAAAAAACTTACAAAAAATGGCACCAGCCCACGTTTTATATCTTCCTATACAAATTTAAAAAAAAAAATATATATATATATATTAATTTAGAGCTTTAGTGAACATATTTTAGAAATATAGTTTTTTTTATTGGACATACACTGAATTCTAAGAATAAAATAAGTGTACATGTAAGTCTATTGGACTGCGTGGCCGAGCAGGAGAGCGCAAGACAGCTAACCTGAAAGTTTCTAGTTCGAATCCGGGTTTAAATCAGTAGAGCGTCCACCCAACTCTGATGGGTACCTAACTCACGTTAGGTTAATAAAGTAAAGGCGGCTTGAGATAGTGCTGACCACACTATCTCTTCATATGCCTACGTCACAGGAATATGTGAACTCTACTTCACTTGCGTCACGGCCCGTCAGGTTCGTTAAGAAATGTTTTCACATGTTAGTCTGATCGGTGAATGGGAAGGCTTGTTAATATTGTAATCTGGTTTTAATTCAAGCTGAAATAAAACTTTAGAAGGGCATGGCCAATGGCTTACTAACACCATACATGAAATTATATAATAAGGGATGGTTATTAATGTAAAGAACTTTCGCACAGGAAAGTATATAATAAAGGTTGGTTTGTAATGTAAACTCTGTTTACGCATGAAATGAAATAAAGGTTGGTTAAAGATGTAAACAACTGTTACAAAGGAAACAATATAATAAAAGTTCATTAATAAGGTAAATAATCTTTAATTCAAGCCGATATTGAACTTTGGTGGGACCTAAATTAAGATTTTGTTTATACCGACCTGCATGGCTTCCTCCAACACGTCACCACGCAGTGAGTAGTTTTCGTCATGCTCCAGTTGTCTCAGCTTGACCAGCCCGATTAGCCCCGCCTTCTCCACGCTTGAGTGAGCCTAAAACAATAAAAGTTTCCGGTGTAAACTAGTCATGTGATGGCGTGGTTAGATGATAGAACTCAAGAATATTAACTGAAAAGTTCTGAGTTCGGATCCCGGGCTCAAGTCTCTAAGACAGTTTTGAGTCCACCTAGTTATCATGGGTACCTGAATCATGTTAAGGAAACTATAGGCATAATGCGGACTATACTATCCCCTTGCATGCTGAGGTCGTTGAAACAGATGCAATCTACCTCTATTCTTCGTACTTAATTCAAGTGTTGGAAAGGATTCCCTCCAACACAATTAAGTAATTCGTGTCAACTAGTTATGCGCAATATAGGCGATTGGTTCCGATTTCAGCCTGCTTTTCTTTTTGGATTTGCTTCCATAGCCTCTTTCAAATCAAGAACGAACTCTACTTCATTAAAGCCCGTTTGCATTTGGCACGAATAGGAAAACATAACGCTACAAGCTTCGTATTTTCATCATAAGTTTCATTCTCTGTGTTTACTTTATATAACCCAAAATAGATCAATTTCAATCACCGCGAATTCTTTTATTTCAGATAAAAATATAAATTTTACAAAAATTCAAAACCATGCTTACTAGTTGTGTATTAAACGTATTCTTATATGTTATGTTATGAAAACTTTTCCATAGAATTGATAAATTGCTCTTACTTATGTTATTTTATTGAAATTCCCACTATGACATACTGCTATACCAGCACTCACCAAGTAAACCAAGTACTAAACAGTTTTCGGTTGTGTAATTCATACAACAAGATATTGTTATACCACATCCATAAAAAAACCAACAACTCACAACTGTTTTGTAATTCATACAACAAGATTGTGTTATACCAGATCTATTAAAAACACAGTACTTAACAGCTGTATTGTAATTTATACACCAATATATTGTTATACCATATCTATAAAAATCCAAGTACTCTCTAGCTGTTGTATAATTCATACACAAAATAATGTTGTATCAGATCTATAAAATAACCAACAACTCAACAGCTTTCTGTGTTGTAATTAATACAACAAACTACTGTTACACCAGATCTATTAAAAATCCAAGTACTCACCAGCTGTTTTGTAATTCATACAACAAGCTACTGTTACACCAGATCTATCAAAAAACCAAGTACTCACCAGCTTAGAGCTGTAGGCGACCAACTTAGTCAACAGCTCCCCGTCCTCCATGTGGGGGTGGGTTGACTTGAGCCCCTGGATGGTCCTGTGTCGGGCCGACAGTAGGGCGACCAGCACACATTCACTGGCCGACCCCTGGGGAGGGGGGGGGACAATGGTAGTGTTTTGTATTTATTACTGGTTAAACATGTTGAGACAAATTTGAAGTTACCGGGTAGTCGGATGGTTGAAGATACAGCTGCTAACCCGAAAGTCTCGAGTTCAAATAGCAGGTTCAAGTACGTAGAGCAAGGCTAAGTTCAACAACCTTTGATGGGTACCTAACTCAGGTTAAGGCATAATGCTGACCTCATATCTGGAGGTCACTGAAACATATGAACTCTACTTCACCACGGCCATGAATAGTTGTTCAAAAGGACCTTTAAGATATATGCATATAAGCGTAATACTAAAAAGTATATATAAATGGTGTTAGATTTATATAGGAGAGGTATCAAATAGTCTACATTTATGTAAAATAATTATGTTTATAGAGATGCGGCATCCGTAGAAGCGCGTTGTATTTATAGGCTGGTATTCTTTAAAGACGAGCTATGAAAATTTATGTAAAAAATAGACATTACCTGTATACACCCACCGCCTTGACCGCTTGAATTCATAAAATGGTCTGGTAGTCCAATCATTTTTCCTATTCGAATCGTACAAACAATTTAAAACTATTTACTCGTTTTTATTTATATTTCTACTTTCACTTATTTTTTAATAATTTTACCTATTTATTTTTAATTTTACCTGCTTGTTTAATTATACTTGTATTTATTTCTTTATAATTTTACCTATACAAATAAGTAATACAAGAAATTATGTAGCATGTGAATCTATTGGTTCCTTACCGACCCAATCCATTAATAACAATTCCAACTCAACGGCGGCGGGACTTGATGCCTAAAGGATCAATAAAACGAACAATTAACAAAGTATATCTATGGTGATGTTCAAACATTAATTTTTTTTTCATAAAAGAACTATGAAGACAATAAAATACTCAAACGTATTTTTGATTATATTATTTTTTTCCATAATTATCCACAATCACCCACCTATTTCCACATTATCACCCTCCTATTTTCATTCACTACCGCATATTTCTACACTACAACCAATATATTTTATCATCCTCACCCTCCTATTATTACCCTATTACCCTCCTACTTTATCACCCTACCCCTCCAATATTCCCACCCATAACCCTCTTACTCCCCCACAACACACCTATTATTATCACTTTTACCCTCCAGCTTTCCCACATTACCCAAGAGAAAGCCACTACGCCTAGACCATCTACCAGGATGCCCCTACCCCACGGAGAAAAAAGTCTGAAAGAAACACTACACCTTACCCAATGAAAGCCACTACGCCTAGACCATCTGCGTGTCCGCCACAACTCCCCCCCCCCACCCACCGGAGAAAAAAGTCTGAAAGAAACACTACACCTTACCCAAGAGAAAGCCACACAATCTAGACCATCTGCTAGTGTGTCCGCCCCCTTCCCCTGAGAAAAAAGTCTGAAAGAAACACTGCACCTTAATCAAGAGAAAGCCACTACGCCTAGACCATCTGCCCCCCCCCCCCTGAGAAAAAAGTCTGAAAGAAACACTACACCTTACCCAAGAGAAAGCCACTACGCCTAGACCGTCTGCCCCCCTCGGAGAAAAAAAGTCTGAAAGAAACACTACACCTTACCCAAGAGAAAGCCACTACGCCTAGACCATCTGCACCCCCCCCTCGGAGAAAAAAAGTCTGAAAGAAACACTACATCTTACCCAAGAGAAAGCCACTACGCCTAGACCATCTACACCCCCCCCCTCGGAGAAAAAAAGTCTGAAAGAAACACTACACCTTACCCAAGAGAAAGCCACTACGCCTAGACCATCTGCCCCCCTCGGAGAAAAAAAGTCTGAAAGAAACACTACACCTTACCCAAGAGAAAGCCACTACGCCTAGACCATCTGCCAGGGTGCCCCTACCCCCCGGAGAAAAAAGTCTGAAAGAAACACTACACCTTACCCAAGAGAAAGCCACACAATCTAGACCATCTGCTAGTGTGTCCGCCCCCTTTCCCTGAGAAAAAAGTCTGAAAGAAACACTACACCTTACCCAAGAGAAAGCCACTACGCCTAGACCATCTGCCAAGGTGTCCGCTAAGACAGAAGTAAAAGAGTAACCCAGGGGCAGATAAGCGTGGAAGTTTGGGTGCTGCCAGTGTACAATCTGAAGTAAGGAAAAAAATGTTCAAACAAAATCTTGCAGGCTAATTTAGTGTTAGCTAGTAAATCTAGAGATGCGCATGCTTGTTGAGTGCAATGTATACCACTCTCCTGTATTTTACTTACACCATCATGTGAAGGAAGACGGTGACCATTTAGACAAATTACCTTGTTTTCCATAGTTCAATTTAAAGTGAAGATTAGACACGCAGTTACACTTTGTTAAATTTAAAATGTTCATAATTTTTTTATCGTCGAATCTCAATTCAACCAGTGGCGTAGGCAGGGGGGTTAGGGGGTCATAACCCCCCCCATAGACCCCTCGGTATATATTTTAAAAGTATGAGGGGGGGTGCAAATTGAAAGTTTGAGGGGGGGGGGGTGCTAATCGAAAGTTTGAGGGGGGGTGCAAATCGAAAGTTTGTCCCCGGGTAAAAATTGGAATCCCCCCTCTTGAGACGATCCTGGCTACGCCACTGAATTCAACACTTTCTTTTCAATCAACCGCTACGTCATTATCTTGTCTATTGCCTCATTCTCTTTTCGACTCGTCAAGAAGCGAATTTATCCTAATTACAATTTAGCCCTTAGCCCTTAACTAACTTTAATAATCAACTGTTTTTGTCATAACCTAAAAATTTACTTTTTTTATTGCACTGTCAAGCACTATATATACAAATCATACGCCGTAAAGTTATCCCAACTAGTATAGATCTAGACTATACGTTTAGGACAGATTTTTGTTTTGTAGTAAACGCAATTTTATAGGTTTGTAAAAAGTTGTATACACTTTTTTAAACATTTATTTGCTATTCAATTGAATTAAAAGTTGGATTTTTTAAAACTAATTAAAAATACACTTTCAAATTTTTTTTCGAATTACCAAATGCTATTGCGTTTTTACTAACTCAGATTGATTCTAAGTAACTATTATTTTCCCCTGATTTCATTTAAATAGCGCATTTCAATATTAAAAAGTTGAATTTTACATTTTAACATGTGGGTGAAATCAAAATATCGCTTTTTATTAAAAGTATTATTAAAAAGAATATATATTTTTTTAATTGAAATCCAATAGTGATATAACGAAATTTTAATCCACAAATGTATCGAATAAAGAAAACTCAAAAATGAAAACAAAATTTAACTATAAAAAAGTACCGACCCCTGGCATAATGGACTTCTCAAAGTCGGCCATGATGGATTCCCATTTCTCTCCATTTTCAGGGGCGGCGTCAGGCAGCAGTTTCCTTAAATAGCCTTTCTTGACATCTGGGAGAACTCTCCTGGACCGGATGTTGCCTATGTAGTCTGCGATAAAGTCCATCACCTGGCTGCCCCGTCTTTTGAAGTCGTGTGTGTCCATTTCGGTTGCTGATTATATCAAGAACTTTTTTAAATGTTAATTATTTGAAGAAAAAGAAAATGAATATTTGTTTCATTGAAATTAACTAAATAAATAACTTATAGACCTAATTGCTGTCAAACTTTAAGAAACTATTTGGTATTTTTGTATTTAATTGGTAATGAAAGCTATTTTTGGTATAGCTTTATGTTTTTTTTTAAATATAAATGTGTATGAATGATGCGTAAAAAAATAATATAATGTTGCGTAAAAACTTTTAACAAATTAAGATTAATTTATTGGAAACTTGACATATTCATTTTCCTGATTGGTAAGTAAATGTAATGTTTATTTGTAATAATGTTGATATAAACTGTATGAAAACGCCTTTTAAAATAAGTTTAGTACATTCTAAGTATTCCATCTTTCGCTCTTTAAAACAATAATGTAAAGAAAAATCAAAATTGTTTTAAAATACTTGAAAAAAATATTAAATTATATATGTCTATTGCATTTGCAACATCGTAAAATTTCAAATATTTTTAAATAATTGATAATATACTTTTTATAAGTATTTTCTTTTCTACTATTTTTTTTTAAATTGTTAAAATATTTAATATACTCTACAATAAATTAATGCTAAAATATATAACATAATAATACTATTTGCTATAACACTTGAGAATATACAGAACCTGTCCTGACGTGTAGTGAGCTGTTACTCTTGGGCCGACTGTAGCACGAATAGAAACTCACATCGGACCACCCTTATATACATTTTGTGTGAGTGGTCATCACTGACGTCACCAAAAAAGTTGAGCCCACTTGCGCATCATAGCTCATCGTTGCGAAACGCGTTATACATAATCAGCTCTATACCAGACGGATGATCGCGTCACTCACGGCTAATCCGCACCTGGCTAACCCACTGACTCACGCCCACCATAGTGTTTGGTGAACACTTTCGATCTGAGCGAATGTCGCCTAATACGTCAGGCTATTGTGTCAATACACTTTTATAGTGCAAAAAAATTGGAAGTGGTAGGGAGGATTATATCATGGTGGTGGGGGTGATTTAAAAACAAAATTTCAAACATATGAAAAAATTGTCCTATATATATACATATATATATATATATATATATATATATATATATATATATATATATATATATATATATATATGTATATATATATATATATATATATATATATATATATATATATATATATATATATATATATATATATATATATATATATATATATATATATATATATATATATATATATATATATATACATATATATATATATATATATATATATATGTATATATATATATATATATATATATATATAGGCCTATATATATATATGTATATATATATATATAGGCCTGTGTATATAATTATACATATACATATATATATATATATAGGCCTATGTATATATACATATATATATATATATATATATATATATATATATATATATATGTATATATATATATATATATATATATATATATATATATATATATATATATATATATATATATATATATATATATATATATATGAAGAGTTTATTTTCAAAATGCAATATATCCAAAATTTGGGTTTTGAGAAAATCGCACTTCTCTCCTACACAAAGCCATTGTACAATATGCTAAAACTGTTTTTCAAAAATAGAAATAAAATGAACATTTTGCGTCGTGAAGATTAAAATTAAGTTTTCCTAATAGTAATTGAGTAGCTTTGCAATATGGGCAAGTTATCTCATTTTTTTCAAAAAAGGCGCTTATCGCATTTTGAAAATAAACTCTTCATATATATATATAGGCCTATATATATATATGTATATATATATATATATAGGCCTATGTATATAATTATACATATACATATATATATATATATAGGCCTATATATATATATATATATATATATATATATATATATATATATATATATATATATATATATATATATTCATACATTTTACATTTGTATTACTGCTACGCATCGAATTTTAGAATTTAAAATAGCGTTTTTATTACATTCATTTTAATGTAAAAACAAATAAAACACAAGATCACTAATGTAATTATTTTCCACTTTAAGCCCCCCCCCCCCTTTCCAAACACAACCACATGTTTTAAATTTTTGCTTATATTTCATTCTTTTAATTGCTGCTTACATCAGAAATTTTATTACGATATTTATTTATTTGCTTATTTATTTTGCGTTATTTGGCGTCAGCTGTTTTGCCAAATAATTTAAAAATCGGACAAAACAAATAAAAATAATGTAAAACATTATGAAATATCATGCTCATCAAAAATGTTTTATTTTTCGCTAAATAATCATACTGAGTCTTAACTTAGTAAAAAAACTAGATCTACTGTGCGACAGATGTCGATGAATTTTTTAAATATTTTAACTTTGTATTTTAAAGACGAGAAATTTTGACAAGCAGTGACTAGATGAGTGATATAGATTAGCCACAAACTCGCAACCATTGTGAAATATGTACAAGACTAGGCATGCTGCCCAGCTTCGCTTAGGCTATCGAAAACATTAATTCGCCCGAGGGTCCGTCTACGACCTCAGGAGTTATGAAGAGGTTCCTACGTGGACATTTTTTTTTCGATTTATAGCTCATATAAGGCGCCGGTCAGTCTAGGTCAGTTTTGACCCCCTCATCGCAGACTTTTCGGCCAACCGGCCCCCGTGTTCTGTCGCCCCAAGGCAAGATCCTGCCAAATTTGAAGCGCCTGCGGCGCCGGGAAAGGCACCCGACAACTTTGCTATATATATTATAGAGATTAGCAAATTGCATAGATAAACAAAGATTTCAATAAAGTAATTAAAGCCTGAAATACTTTAGTATAGAAATGTATTATTTGAATAGATTCTAGATCTAGGTAGGGTCTACATCTGTGTAAGTGTAGTTTTTCCGTAGATCTAGAATATCTAGATCTAAAATCCTAATAGAATTTTTTTTTTTAAGTTTAGCCCGAGGAAAATTGTATTGTAAAAATGTTATAGCGTACGTAGATCTAAATAATATTTGAATGAAATAGTTCATTTCTTTTTATTCTAAACACGGCAGATAACGTCATTAGTTAATGTATAAATATTAGTGACGTCACTGTTTTATGCATTCTTTTTCACAACTATTGACAACTTTATAAAGAGACAGAGAGAGAGAGAGAGAGAGAGAGAGAGAGAGAGAGAGAGAGAAGTGCGCACACGTGGGCTTTTATATTTTAGGATTGTGTAAAGTAACAAGCAGTGAGTACATGAGTATGGGACGACGTGGCCTAGCGGTAGAGAGCTAGATTGCTAACTTCGAGTTCGAAGTGAAACGTCCCTGAGTCCAACCAGCTCTGATGGGTACCTAACTGACATTAGGGAAACAAAGGCGGCTGGGCTTGGTGCTGAGCACACTATCCCTTCATATGCCGAGGTCAACGAATTAGATTAACTCTACTTCATCTCCCCATGTGTCTTGGGCCCCGAACGGGATTAAGAAGAGAAGAGACTAAATGAGTGATAGAGAATAGCCTCAAACTCACAGACATTGTAACTATGTAAAAGCTTGTCAAAAGTAAAAATGTATTCCCCTTAAACCTAGAAGTTTATTTTTATTTTTTCACACGGATATCACCGGCCAGGAGGTGTCTCCCATTAGCCAGGCAGGCCTTAAAACGGCAAACTAACACTAACTGGCTTGGCTATCGGTTTGATTACCGTGTATCGGTCGCTTCTGTCCTTTGGTTCTCACCTGACTTACCTTCCACCCCACTGAACGCAGAGTAAATTCGTACCCCACCGTCCAGTAACGGGCTCAACCCAGAGGCGTAGCGACCCTTCACGGCGCCCGGGGACAAACTTTCAATTTGGCGCACATCTCGGTAGCAAATTTTTAATTTGCATCCCCCCCCCCCCCACCCCCCTCAAACTTTCGATTTGCACCCCCCCCCCCCCCTCAAGCAAAGTTGCAACTAAAATGACATTTTAATTTGTTTTTACAACCCATTTTGGCGCCCCCTAAGGTCGGCGCCCGGGGACATATGTACCCCCCTTCCCCCCCCCCCCATCGCTACGCCTCTGGCTCAACCGTAGGGCTAGTCCGGACCTAAAAAGTTTGAACCTGACCTTCCCTTCTCCCCTGGTACATCATACCGTCTGTTTCGCGAGGTCGTAACTAACCGTGACGCCAAGATTTGACTCGGGCCCAGTCGCAGTTTTACTTTCCATATCGTTAGAATGTGTAATATATTTCATGACTATTAAATCCCACTCAAAAAAGTTGTATAGTGGGTGAAAAGTGAGGGTGTGTGGGGGGGGGGGGAATTCGGAGACCACCGTCCTGTTCGTTTACAATGATGGTTTATTGTTTGAGTCCACCTATATAATTAATATAAATAAACCGGGAGTGATCTCCCCTAAGCTTTCTTGAATATTCTTATATAACACTACGTGGGGTTGCAACTCGGAATATAGACATGATTTTTAATTACTTAAACTTTTAAAAATAAAATAGAATCTCGTAGAAAAAAGAACAGCGCACCAAGCGAACGCCAAAACAAAATGTGCATAATATTGAGGAATATTATTAGTACTTTATAAATTTACATGCGTTTTTTTTTTTTGAGAAATCGGAAATAGCGTAAATTACTACTTCCGGTCAACGGAAATTACTCAAAATTTGATTGAAGGTAGAGGATTAGAACTTTAACTTACAAGTGAAATTTCATTTATCTATCTAAAATAGTACTCAAGTTATAGGCTTTTGAAAAATTCAAAGTAGAAAAAGTACAACTTCCGGTTATCAGAAATCGCTCAAAAGTTATATGGGTCTACGATTTTGATAAAATACTTATATCAACCTAGCTGTAACGGTGCTCAAGTTATCGTGTTTACAGACACACAGACACACATACAGACACACACAGACACACAGACACACACACACACACACAGACACACAGACATGTGGACAAGATTGCAAAAATATGTTTGTCCGACTAAGGGAGTTGTAAAACGTCGAGATTTGTAAAAATCTCGATTTTTTTTTTGCACGATTACAAGACTTGCTTTATACTTCGTATATACGAGAAAGTAAAAACGACGAATTAGAAGAAATATTTAACCATAATAAAATGGAAAAAAAAACATCACATTTTACTGTATTACTTTTCATGTTGTATTGCCACGGTGAGAGTTCTAAATTTAAACCGATGACGTTTTGTACTTTTAAACATATGTGAGCGGGTGAATGGATTATTTATTTTGTATTTATTTTATTTGTTGCGAATCTGGGAGTGCATGGTGGTCCAATGGGGAACGGCACGGAGTCCCCTTCCGTCCGAAGCGGTCAGTATAAATTGACCGCTCGGAGTGATTTTCTTCCTTTTTTTGACCCGCGGCGAGATGTAGGTCGGGTCAGGTTTCTGCGTGGCGCACCGCACGCGTGGAGGTATTTGTTTTTTTATACTTTATCTTTATGTGATTTGTATGAATGCGACTGTCGATGTTTCTCGTTTTCTTTCATTTTCGTCTAAAACGAGATAGTGAGCATCGGCATGTCTGGTATGCACGTGATGTGTTATTTTGAATTAAAATGTATTTTTGTGTTTTCTAAACCCGTGGCGTGTGTTTCGGACCACGTGGTTTAGGCCAGTGTGTTTAGGAGTGTTTCCTAAACTAGTGTGAAT